AACAAAAAGATTCACGCACCGTTAATTTGTACAAATATTAGTGCATTTTATTGGGATTTTATGTGCTAGAAATAAAGCACAGTTAAAAAGCAGAAGGAAAATAAGATATTAAAACGTGTGTGTCAAACTCAAGGCCCGTCGTAGCTTTTTATGTGGCCCTAAGTGTGCTTAAATATTATGTTATCAATCAAATCAATGCAGTTTTTATCTGATTATTGCTAAATTATATCAATTAATCCCTCCACTTTCTTGAGAATTATTGCAGAAATTCACATCGTCTCTAATATCTCTAGGAGTTAATTGAAGATTTTTCTCAAATATTTTCAAAAAATAAACAGGTGCCTCAGCCTTAACCGATGTCAGATTATAGTCCAGGATCTATATAAAAAGTTGCATTTATCATGATAAAAAGAGCAAATATCACAAATTAGTACCACAAACATTTTGATTTTTATTGCAAAAAAATTACAAAAAGCTACAAAATCCTGTAGGGATTGAATAGATGTTCAATAATATTTTTTAGTTTTAAGAATTCATGGATATTTTAACAGTTTGTGAGCAAGTTTTATCAAAACATTCTGGCACAACCGGCCCTTTAAGAGCCTTTAGGTTCTTGATTTGGTCCTAAACAGAAATGAGTTTGACGCCGCTGATTTGTAAAGCATTTATTGGATTTCCCCTGAAGAATCTTTGGGTTTTACTTTCTTTGCTCAAAGAGCTTCTCAAGTCTCCAGGAACTTTTATCTATGAACACCTTCAAATACCTGTTAATGATCTGGAAATGAGTCCAGTTCCTTCAAGATTTCTGCACATAACTGGTGAAGGTTTGCTCATTTGTGGTAGGATGTCACTGTGTTTGAACTTGCTGAGGTCGTAGCATCACTAACTTGTTCCTAGTTTGTTAATCGCTACAGAGGAAGGAAGTTTTCCAGTAAATTGTCACCAATCAGGAATAACCACTGTGGGATTAAACAAAGAAATTTTATCTCCAGTGAAAAGTGATTAACAGGACTGACAAAAACTTTTTGAATTTGTTTCACATTATTTAATTTTTTTTAATAATTTGATAATTTCTTCACCGGCCCTTGAAGAAACCTCAAAAGCTCTTTAAAGTCTCAAAGATACCAACGCTACATGAGAATCAGTTGGATGATTTCTCAGGATAAGTACTGGAATATGTGTTCATTATTATTGTTACTTATTTGTCGTGTAAAATTGCATACCTGTGAATTATTTCATTGTTTGAAGCTTTCAGTTGCAGAAGAAACAGAAACCTGTAAGGATAAACCAAGAGACTCGGGTAGCAAAACTCATTTTAGTTGCTCTGCACCGAGTAACAAAACTTAACCAGCCACTCACTGTTGCTATTGTTTTATCAAGTAGAATAAAAGCAAACTTCTTCAATTTCACTTGTTAAACAATGTCTTTCCTTATGCTTGTTGCATTTTTGCAGTTTGACAGCTGCAGCTACATCTGTTGTTTGACTTTAGAGAACGTACCTCCTGAAGGTTTGGTCGTGAAGAACTCAGCTCTGGATTCCTGCATATCTGTTGATCCAAAGGACTTAAAACACCAGTTAAAATGCTTCCGTTCTGCATTGGCTTTGATTTAAAAAGGGAAAAGAGAAGAGTCTGTGAAAAACACAAGTAGTTTCATAAGTAGCATGTGTTTGGACTCATTTTGCTCCAAATACTGCAGCTGCATGGAGTCTAGAGGAGCTGACAACGCGCTATCCAAGCATTAGGTGACCAGGTCACAAGGGCTTCTCATGTCGTCAGGATTGATTGGCTTTGTTTAGAAGAGTTCAGATTGTGAGACTGTGGAGGAAAGTCCTTTTTCAGGAAATTTCAGTTGCAAAGCTTTGATTCGTTTCTTTGTGCTCAGTAAAGTCAGAATTAGCTGTGATCCTAAACTAAAATTTGACTTGTATTTAAGATTTTAAAATGAGATTTCCTGCACTGTTACACAAACCGTTTCTGTACAAGTACTTTATTTTCAACCATAAAAACAATTTCACGCTTCCAGGCATACATTTCTGTTCTATGTGTATTATTTTGAGGTTTTATGACTTATTTATTTAACTGCATTAAGCTAAAATAGCAATTCCTTTTACGTTGATATGTTTTCTTTTAGAATACCCACATTACAGAGGAACTATTATATGGATCTTAATTTTAAATCAACGGAACAAAATGATTCTTGGAGCATATCTAGGGTAAAATCTAATAAAGTCAACCAAGTTTAATAATGTTATTCATGCTGAGGAAACACAGTGGGGCCCAATTTTAGACTCAGCGGTAGAAGCGCGTTATCGCATCTCGTAGAGCTATCTGTGGTGGCCATGTGGCTTCACCTTCACACCACAGACACTCCCAGTTTTCACACATCTTCATATTTAAAATGGTTTAACTGCTGCACAGTTCTACAGTAAATAAAATGAAATGCCAGTTATGTGGGGACAGAGTGTAATTTGACCTTTAAGTCTTTTTAAAAAGCTCAAAAATAAATATGAGAATGACCCAACGGTTCAAATCAAAGAACTTCACTTCATAAACTTTACGAATTTCCTGCAGTTGCATAATTTTGAATATAAATGAAATCTGTAGCTTAATAAAAATAAATCTTAGGAGTATATAAAGGTATTTCTTTTTAAATGTATCAAACTCAAGGCCCGTGGGCCAAATCCGGCCCGCTGTAGCTTTTTATGTGGCCCTTTAGATTCTTGACTAAACACTGAGTGTACTTATTAATTATGTTATTATTTAAATCGATGCAGATTTTAGCTGTTTGTTGCCAAATTATATCAGTCAGTCCCTCCAATTTCTTGAGAATTATTGTGAAAATTCACGTAAAATCAACAAATCCCCACACTTTTTTGGGCTAATAGTTGGGAGATTATTGCAGATTTTTTTTCAATTATGGTCCAAAACTTTCTTACTTGAACTGAACAGCTGCTTCAGCCTCGAATGATGTCAGATTATAATCCAGGATTTGTGCAAAAAGTTGCAGATATTTCCAAACTAATACAAATACAAAATTCTGGAGGAACTAAAAAGATGTTCAATAATATTATTTGATTTTAATAACGTATTGATATTTTAATAGTTTGTGAACAGCTTTTATCAATACATTCTGGCACAACCAGTCCTTTAAGAGCCTACAGGATCTTGATTTAGCCCAAAATAAGAAGAGTTTGACACTGCTGGTTTAAAACATTCGGTTAATTTATGGGGAAAGATGCAAATATGAGCTCTATCAGCTCCTCAACAAGCAGACTGGTGTGAGTTATCACTAAGAGCCAGAATCAAAGACCCACCTATAGGAAAAGTCAAAACAGCGAGGGCTATTCATTCATTTCAATTCAGCTGAACTTTTATTACATCAATATTAAATTAAAAAATTTTTTACCTTGGAAATTAGAATTTATACATGTCCTAATTTGTTTTATTTATTGATTTATTTATTTTTTCATGATGAGCATCAACACAAAACTCTCCTGAAACAAAGTAAGTTTTAATTTCTCAGAAGTGCAAGCTAAAACTTACTTTTATCTTTTTTAAAGCCAAATTTGCTGTTATTCCTGTAAATAAATGTTCTTTCCTGCTGGATAATTAAAAATAGAAACAATCATAAAAAAAATGAAATGAATAAAACATTCTAGGAATCACAAACTCCCAAAAAACATTTTTTTATAAATCTTTGTCTTTTACCCAAGTTAGCTTTGCCTGATGTTAAAATGTATTTGATCATCAGAAACAACACTAAAATGAAAGAATGAACTTGGACAATGACCAATTTAATTTTATTTCCAAGTGGAATCAGAGTAAAATGTGCATAATTTGATGAAAATTTAATGTTAACAATTTATCATCCAGCTTAACATTGTATGATCAGCTGCAAGAAGCCTCAGCTCTTTGAAAAATTGACTTAATCATCAGTGAACCTGCTGTTTGGTAAAATCCCAAAGTTTGACGCCCATCAGTTAACAGGGTAGAAGTAAATACTGCCATCTTCTGGAGATCTGTTTGATCTGCAAATATAAAAAATATACATATATAAGTGATTATTTTATCTTTTCACCTTGTGTACATATTTTGTCTTGTTCAGTTATACGAGGAAAAAAATCACACCAGAGGTGGACCTTTTATATTATTATAAAGGCATGAATTATATACTTTTATATTTTAAATAAGCAAATAAAAACCGTCAATTTCAAAACTGAAAAACCAAAAATTAACTTAAGTAATTAGGAATTAAATAAAAATAATTTCTAACGAGACCTTCCAGTGAAATTAAAGCTCAGTTTATTGAAGTTTGAGGTTGTAAGGAGATTAGAAACATTCACTGTGTAAAACTACAGTGAACACAACGTTGGCAAACTATAACCAACAGCTTCAGTTCTTCCACCTGTGATTTCAGATGAAAAATTAAAAGCATTTTAATGAGCTTGGGAAACTAAAGGGAATATCAAGGTTGCTGCTTCAAATCGTTTCATTCATCAGTATTTTTCCTGTCCTTCCCATAAAAATGTCTTCTATCCTCCACTTGTAACCAGAGGGACGGCTGTAGTGACGCACCAACTCCTCTTTGACTTTGATATTATCAAGTTATGTTTTAAATACACAACATAACTTTTTTTACTAATGAATAAGTCTGCATGAGAAGATCAAAATATATATGCACTCCAACATCTTGCTCTGGTTTCCTTTTGGAATGAACAAACTTCAAGATGATAGCATTGTAAATGTTTAACAGGTAAAACCACAAACAGATGAAATCATAACATGGATGTTTGAAAATCAAAGATTAACAGCAGCCAACGTCATATAGTCTGTTAACGCAAAACAAAACCTGTTGCACAGGAACGGCCTGTTCCACCAGAACACTGGAAGTCGAGGGATTGAAGGACCCAAAGGAGCGTCACGAGCGTCTAACATGTCGAGGTGGGAACGCTAAGAAAAACTAGTGTGGGTGTAGAGAAGAAGAGATGACAACTACAGTATATTACAAGAATTTAATTTATTAAAATTCTGCAGTTTCAACATCAACTGAGAAATTTTATTACAGCAAAAAATGATGGTTCTCAGATAAGTACTGAATATGTATCCAGTATGGAAGGGTTTAAATTAAATGTGTTTTAGAATAGATGAAAAATGAACTTGGTTCATGCTCACTTTAAAAGCTTAAAGCCACAGAATCACAATTTATATCCAAAAGCGAAGACTAGCTCTGAGGAAAGGACAAAAAAAAAACTGCTCCACAGCTGTGCAAAGACATCAGTAGTTTCTCTTCCTATTCATGTTTCACCCTTATAATATTGTGTGTTTGATATCAATTCCTAGCTGCATGCGATAAAATAAAAAGTAAAATATTCAAACATTGGGGCATTTAAAATGCCAGCTAGAGAGGCAGAAGTGCACATGCTCCCTTAATCCCATCTGTGACAACTTCTCCTCATCTCTGTTCCTATGAAACTCCAGGAAGGCATTCGTCATGCTATAACCTTAAGGATTTTAAATTACAGCAATCATTAACAACCTGAAGAATCTAACAGGAGAAGAGAGAGGAGCCAGCTGACACAGCGTCAGACTGCTTCATTTTGGATGGATGCCTCCATCATGCTGCTGATGTTGCAGCAGATCAGAGAGAGCTACAAGATGACGCACGGAGCACGGCTATTGGTGATCTTCTGAACAGGTTTCCCATCACAGGCATCCTGGACTGCCTGGATAATCTGCAGCAAGGGGAAAATAAATATATAGCATAAACCAGGCTGCTTTGGATTCAGAGTGAACTGAATGTGTGCAGGAAACTCACGTCATCCTCATATGGGAAGCCACCTGTCTCAAGCTTGGAAAAGATGAGCTGCCCGTTTATCACTATTTCGAAGCTGCCTGTAAAATAAATAAATAAAGGAACTTTAAAGAGAAGACTCGGCGTAAAAGGCAGCCGGAAATATCAAGATAAATGCTCCAAATAGTTTCATTCTCCAGCATGACTTGATTTACCTGTCCTTCCCACAAAGCCGGACACATCCGCATCGGGAAACTCGCCCTGAGCGACGCAGGCGAGCTCCCGATAGCGGGGTTCGTAACCTCATCCACCGCTACACGGAGCAAAGAAAACATGGGAGATTAAACCAAACACAGACAGAAGCGGAGCAGAAGCTTGTAGCTGCAGACTGGCGATGCTAACGGCTGGTAAACAACACCACGGCTCCGCATTAAATTAGACTCAAATGAATGATGTAAGACACAAATGTTGAATAACAAAGTTGGAAATATGGGGAAGGGCACCAAAAGTAGGAATTACCAATATTCGACTTTAACTTCCACCCCCATTTTCGACGTTTCTCAGGCTGTTCGCGTCCGCTCCTCGGTGCTATTAGCTGTTTGTATAACGTTGCAAGCGAGAGGGGCGGGGCTTATTCTAAGTTATGGATTTACGTATGCGCGTCATACCCGGAAGAATCGTTTTATTTACGGAACAATGCATTTATTTATTTATTTACTCAATTTCAGTTATTCATATTTCGGCAAATCATGTACACGGTCTAAATGAAACGAGGATTTTAGTTGTTCTTCACTATGTTGCTGAAAAGTTTTTTTTTTTCTTAATAACTTGTGCTTTATTCTTTATGCAAAACCACTGTTCGTATAGTTAGGAAAGTTGCACTGACTTTTGGAAAAAGAAAAGACAAATTTTAATTTTGATGTATATTATCATATGAAATTGCCAGATTTTGTTTCTATTTTTTGGGTTTCTATTTTTAAGAAAAACACGAAAGTCTTGCAAAACGAATATAGTTTTCAACCTAAGAACAAGAAAATAGATCTCAGAAAAATCATGCTGGCACTGAGTCAATCTGTTGTGGAAATTCATTACAACTATTTTATGATAAAACCGAGTCACTGCTGAATCACAGCTCTGTTTTTAAATCTGTATTTATAAGCATCCGTTTACTTTGCAGATCCACCTTTGGCTATAATCACATTTGCAAATCCTGGTTTCTATGTTTCTTCGAGGTTCACACATTTGGAGATGGAAGGTTTCCTCTTTACAAAATGACTCAAGCTTATCAGTTTGGATGATAAGCATGTGTAACGTTGATTTTCAAGTCATGCAACAGATTCTCAAATGGATTAGGTCTTTTGACTACCAGTGCTTGCCACATGATATTGATCAAAGCCCTTCTGTTGGTGGCTTTGCTGTGTGAATAGGGTCATTGTCCTTCTTTAAGGCAAACCTATACTGTATAATATGCCTTTTGGAAATATAACATATACATTTGTAATGTATATGTTATATTATCTCAAGCTGTTAACTTATAGTGAAATCCAGCAGATCAATTTAAAAAGTGATGAAAAAAGTTTTTTCTTCTAAGTAATAGTACAGTACCTTGTTCTCTCTCACGTCATGTTAGTAACCATACAACATTGTATCTGTCATTGCATCTGAAGCTTCCTGGTGTATTTGTACATTTTTAACCCAGTTTTATATGCTGAAAATCTCCATAAGGTTGCGGAGAGGGACTGTCCAGCCATGCAGATTTTATCACACTGCACACATAACCCCAAACACGGTGTCTCTGATAAATAAATTCAAAGTGCCTTTGTGCCAAACTGTTCAGGACTTTCTCGTATCATATGACAAAAAGAGAAACTCTAGCAAAAACATTTGACAATGAAAACAACAAAAATGTCCTTCATTTCATGTTACAGAGATGTGCAGAATAAACTAGAATGGCAGAGGAATTACTGTCTTTACACTAACTCTTCTAAAACTGTTTTAGTTTTATAGTTGAACATACATTTGAAAAATTACAGACTATTTGTGCTTTAGTCCAGTGCTGTGACAAAATATTTGCTTTTTTCTTTACAAGTCTCCTCTCTTTGTTTTTGTTTTTTGTCAGGTCTAAATGTTTCAAGTCATACACATTTGATTTTAAACATTTTAAAACTGCACAAAATGCAGTTTAAAATTATTATCTTGTTTATAGAAAGAATAAAATCTATCTTGACCAACTTGGTCCAATTTCTATCAGTAATTTCTGTCAGCTTGCAGTAAGTCTTTTGCTTTGCTGTAAATAAATAAAGGGCCCGGGGCCAAATCTGGCCCGCCTTACTTTTTTCTGTGGCCCTTAATACACTAAATTACATCAAATAGTCCCTCCAGTTTTCTCTAATTATGGAAATTCACGTAAACTCAATTCCCACATTTTATCCCACCAAATACATAACTGTAAGTTTATTGCAAGTTTTCAGCGAAAATGATAAAAACATTGGGTTTAACTGACCACTAACATCCCACCTGCAGAAAAGAATTTTGTACTTTTACGATACTGCTGCCTCAACCTAATTTTATTTCTAGTTTTTAGTTTGTCTGTGATCGATATGATGACTAACAAAGTCACAATTAACGTCATACATAAACGCAAATGTCACAAAATTCAGTGAAACTATTTCTAAATTAGCTAAATTGGTGATTGTAATTGCAAAAAAAAAAAAAAAAAATCACAAACTCAATCACAAAATCCTGAAGGGACTGAACAATATGAAAATAAGTTAAATTTTTTAAATGCAGACACAGGTATTTATTAATATTTAACAGTTTGTTCACGGGTTTTAGCAGCACATTCGGGGCCGGCCCTTTAAGAACATTAACGATCTTGATTTAACCCAAAATGAAAATGATTTTGCAAATTGGCCTACTGTCCACTTGATACCTGGGTCTGAGTGATGCATATTTTATAAAATGCACCAGTGCACTCAAATACTCTAGTACGCACTCAAAAGTTGTTTTATTGCAGCCCTGGACAATAAAACATCCGGTCAGAGAGTGGGATGCAGACCATCACACTACTACCACCGCGATGTTTGACTGCTTGCCTCATGTTTTTTTTTAAATGTTGTGTTAATTTTGTGGCAGATGTACCAGGATGTGTTTTTGTCTCATCAGTTTCAGTCAGGACACTTTCCTAAAAGTGTTTGGAATGTGCTACCTGTGTTTTGGGAAAACTTCAATGTTGCTTTGTGTTCTTTTTGGTCAGCACTGGTTTTAGCATTAAAACCTGTTTATGTCATTTATTTTGTGTCACAAATTTCACTCTATACTACAAAGTAAATTGTTCCATAGATGCTGATGGATTCAAGGTTTTGCCTTTGTCCTGGCATTGAGTTGAGCAACAACCATCAATTTCCTTCACACATCAAAGGCAAACATTATTGATTCGGTAAGATTTAAAATCTCAACATTGTCCATGTCTTCAAGAAGTAGTTTCTTCTCAACAGCTGAGTCCACACCATTTGTTTGAAGGAAAGTTTAGTACAAAAGGCTTATTTTTTTCAACCAGGCTATGAACAAACCATTCTAATGTTGAAAAAAGTGGTGGCGGTGTCATGTTTCAGGAACATTTTCTAAAGCAGGAACATGTTTGCTGGTTAAAAGCACAAAACATTGGCAAACTACAGACAACTTTTTTGGCTGTGGAGTAGTTATTTTTCTGCCTGTAATTTCAGAAGATAACAAAAAGGAAACAACTTTAGGAATCTTGGTTTGAAAGGCAGCAAGAAAACTTCAAGTGAATATCAAGATGAATGCTTCAAATAGTAAATATTGGTTCCAGCCTAGACCCCCCACTGCTTGTGTGAAGCTTCTTGTAGATATTATAAACCTGATCTCTAATATGGAAATGTTGACTTTCCATTTGCAGGAGAGTCTTTGGGGAAAATGGGACCGTTTCCACGCCACTCTTATTGACAGACACCTGCGAGTTTTCCTATTTTTTTACTTTTCTTTTTGACTATATACAGTGAAACGTATCTGTAAAATATTTCTCTGCACAGTGGCGTCTTGTTCTCGTTTCAGTGGCTCTGTCTTTTGAAATGAACAGATTTGTTGAAAAGATTGTAAATATGTTACAGGTAAAATCACGAGCAGATTTCAAGAGAACATTGAAAGATGTGCCCAGCACAGATTATATGCAAAACATAACCTGTTGCACAGGAACGGCTTATTCAACCAGAACAATAGTAGTCAAGGGATTAAGACAGGAGCCACCCAAAGGAGTGGCTTGAGCAACAAACATGTCGAGGTGGGAATGCTAAGAAAAACTGGTGTGGGTGCAGACAAAACATTGCATTAAAGAAGAGATGACAACTGCTGTCTTTAACAAAGATTTGCTTTAATAAGAATCTGCAGTTTGTAGTTGAAAATGAGAAAAGAAATTCCATTACAGTAACAATGACGGTTCTCAGGTACGCAGCTGAATATGTCTCCAGAATTTGTGGGTGTGAATAACACGTTTTGCAACAAATGACAGACAATTTTGCTTCAAGCTAAAGGAAACAACAAAATTGAACTTTCTCAACAGAGTTGTGCAAAGACAGTGGTAGTTTCTCTTTCTATTTATTCATTTCACCCATCAAGATCTTTTGCGTTCAATATAAATTTCAAAAAAAGGAAGCAAAGGGGAAAAAGAAATTCAGACACCAAAGGCAGAGAAAAAATATTTTAAAAAGTTATAAAGGTCAAAGGTAAAGAAGGGCGCTCCCTTAATCCCATCTGTGACAACTTCTCCTCGTCTCTGTTCCTATGAATGAAACTCCAGGAAGGCATTCATCATGCTATAACCTTCAGGATTTTAAGTTACAGCAATCATTAACAACCTGAAGAATCTAATAAGAGAAGAGAGAGGAGCCAGCTGACACAAGGTGTGGTCAGACCGCTTCATCCGGCTGGATGCAGTTGGACGGGGAGGCGCCTCCATCATGCTGTTGATGTTGCAGCAGATCAGGGCCTTCTAGTGATCTTCCGCAAGGGTTTCCCATCATAGGCATCCTGAACTGCAGCCAGGATCTACAAGAAATATATAGCATAAACCAGGCTGCTCTGAATTCAGAGTAAACTGAATGTGTGCTGGATACTCACATCTGCCTCATTTGGGAAGCCACCTGTCTCAAGCTTGGAATAGATGAGCTGCCCGTTTATTTCAATTTCGTAGCTGCCTGTAATTTCACAAGAAAAAAAAAGGAAGTTCTTTAAAGAACCTCGGATTGAAAAGGAGCAAAGAAACTACGAGATGAACGCTTCAAATAGTTTGACTCGTCAGCATGATTTACCTCTCCGTCCCACAACGCCGGTCACCTCCGCATCGGGATACCTGGCCTGAATGGCCTGGGCTATCACCACATAGCGGGGTCTGTAACCTCATGCACCGCTGCAGGGAACCAACAAAACACCAATTTTAAACTCAAACAGAAACTTGTGGCTTTGGTCTAACAGAGCTCACACCTGGTAAACGACACCACAAAATAGACCCAGAGCGATAACATAGGATGCAAATGGTATTAAAAAAAAAAAAAAAAGCAGCAAAAACAGAGAATTACCAGTATTCGACTTTAACTTTCACCCCCATTTCTCAGGTTGTTCTCGCTGTGCGTCCTCCACGCAGCTCTGCCACCCTTTACCAGGAAGCGCTTGTATAAGCAGCTCACGGTCCGTCCCCGCCCCTTTCTGCATGCTGCAGTGACGTCCTTCTCAAGCAGTTACTGAGAGGGAAGCACTTTCTGTTACGCAACAGAATGACGCATGCGTAAGATACGCAGAAGAGTCGTTTTATTTACGGAACTCTGTTTAATTCTTTGAGTTGATGTCAGTTATTGATAATTCTACAAATGTGAAACAACTTGTTTATCATTTTGATTACATTCAAGTATGTTTTAAAATACAGCTAACATACAACTTTGCGAAAAGAAAATAGTTTCTGAAAATAGATCTTTAAAAATATTGCCGTACAAAGAGTCTGTCTAGAAATTCAATGCAATTATTTAACAAAAAAGCTGAATCCCTGCTGAAACACGTTTGTTTTAATGCTTGTGTTTATAAAGATTATAGTTTGCTGAACTGTTACCAATACCAAAGAACCATTTCATTTTTGTGTTTTTATGACATAAAGCACTTTGAACTACCTTGTTTCTCAAATGTACTATATCAATAAACTTGATTGATTGGTTGATTATGGCTCTGGAGCTTCAGATTGCAGACCTATGAACTAAATCTTTACAACAACGTCCTGTAACAACCAGTTCCTAGCATATTCCATTTTATGGGATAAAACAAAATAAAGTAGTGTAGGATGTATGAAGTAGAAGAGATCAATACTTTGTAGATCAGCCTTTTATTATAATCCCTTTTGAAAATCCTTTGGGGTTTCTGTGTTTCACACATTGGGATATGGAAGGTTTTGCCCATTCCTTTTTGTAAAATGACTAAAGCTCATCGGTCAGGGTGAAAAGCATGTGTGAACATTGATTTTCAAGACATGCAACAAATGGATTTGGGCTTTTGACGGCTAGTTCTAAGCTGATGATATTGATCTAAGCCTTCCTGTTGTTGGTTTGGCTCTGTGAATAGGGTCATTATCTCAAGCTGTTAACAATTTCAAAATGTGATGCAGAAAGTTTGTGCTAGTGTGTTGTGCAGAATATTCACTTAAGTTAGTAAGTATTCTGCATTGTTTTGCAAGGTGCAAATGCCTGTAAGGCGGCAGATAGGGACAGTACAGCCCAGGAAAAATATAAGGGTTTATCTGAGCAATAAGTATAAACTGGTTTCCATGAAAGGGCCCAAATCATCCCAATTCTAGACACATTATCCAAGTTGATACTGGAGCTTTGGCCTCCAGCAAAGCATTTTTGAGAAGTTGCAAGTTACAAACTTCACAATGAGGCAAACTGTTTTGGACTTCCTCATATCACATAACAAAAAAAGGGATTTTGTTTTATTTATTTTTACCTCAGAGTGACCAAATTTCTAGTATTTCTATCTCGATTTGATACAATTGAGCCTCCCTCACTGTATTCGATCCCTCTTTTTACAACCTCTACCACCGTTTGTTAACAAGTCGTGATATGTTAAGATGCCTGCGCCGGTTTGAAGGTTTTACAGCAACAATGGAGACATGTTGCTGTGCAGGCCTGCACAGCTGCATGTGATTAACATGGCAGCAAAAAACAAAATATCTTTGCACTGTGTGGCAAAAAAACAAAAACAATTTCAAAGCACTGTTCAGGTAAAGTCACTCAATCAAGTTTATTCATGAACTGTGCACAACTCAGAGAGCTCATAAGATGATCAATAATGAAGCAAGTCTGGATGCAAAGCTCTGCCAGGCAGAGACAACACATGAGTTTTATGCAAGGTTAAGGGATCCAAAGCATGGGAAACAGTCGTGGTTCCCATGCTGCTGTGGGAAACAACCTGGTACATGTAACCCAAATAGCTTTATCAGGTGGGACCATACAAGAAATAATGAAAAAAAACCCATAACAATACAACAATATAGCCACGACAACTGCTTTTTTCTAAACAAGCCGAGCAAGTTGAGTAATGCTGACGGATGCAGGTAATGTCAGCTACATGAATACATGCTAACACATCATGCTAAACTTAACAAGATTAAGGAACTGTTGACATAGAATTTTAAGTTAGCACAATACTGCACAGGATAGCTTTGACACATATAAAATATAACATAGAAAGTTAAAGTACACTCTAGGTTTATATAAATTTAGATGAAACTAAAAACAACGGCTCAATCTCTGAAACGCAGATAAATTCTTAAAAGGAGGATCAGACAGAAGAAACAGAAAACATAGGCCTAGACTCCTTGGATCTCTTGAGATAAGGAGCCTGTATGCCAGGCAATTAACAAATTCCTGAGCATGGTTCAAAAGTTCACTAGGATCTTAAAACTTTTTATAAATAATTTTATTTATATTAGAATTAACTATATTTCTTTAAGCATGTTTTTAAATAGTTACTTATTAGATCCAAACTTATAGTCATTATTTAGCATTACATTGTCTGCAAGCTTGGTTAAAATACAAACAATTTTTTTGTGAAAAACAGCTTGGGGAAGAGATAGCGCTGCAGCTGCACTCTATATCAAACTGGACAGCGGCAGGTACGAAAAGAGCCGGGCCATATATCTGCCTTTGGGCCTCTTGAGCAGGAGGTAATAAAATTAACATTAAGACAGCCCACACAAAGGAAAAGAACACACCTCCTAATGCATATATTTAAATGATGAGATTACGCATTCTATAAAATGATTTGGTTTACAGCAGAAGTTGGAATCTCTTTGTGCTGAGTGAGAGTTTCCCGGAGGATGCATCTTCTGTTTTTTACTCAGTTCTTTGTCTCTGTTCTGTAATGTCTTGGACTTTTGATGTTCTAGGTGAGATGATTATTGTAACATTCTTCTTGCATTGATTTTCTCTGGATAAAACTCTGAATATCTGAAGTCTGACGTCGTACGATTGCTCTTTTCTCTCTGCACACTTACACAGACACAGGAATTCGGGACTAAGAATTAATTAAAGAGCTAAATCAAGTTCTTCATTCTTTTTAATTCTTAACAGAACATTGTTATCTCTGTTAATAAATGAATAAAACAAAAACAACAAAAATGTGTTTTGGTCTTTGGATGAACATCCGGGTTATGTTTTATTGTTGCATCACTGCCCTCTTCTGGTAAAGAGAGGTATTGGTGTGCTAATGCACTAAAAATATTTTGTTTAGCTACAAAATGTGACAAAATCATGTTATCATCACTAGAATTAATTAATTAAACATAACACATTTTTACGTGTTGACTTTAAATAGAATATTAACACAGTTTCACTGAACAGTTTCACTGCTTTGAGTGTAAAAGTAGTTTTACTACTCTGTACTTCTGAATTTTACTTCAGTAATATCTATTGACACTTTTACATGAGTAGATTAATTTTGCACCTGAAGAAATAGACTCCAGAGATTTCTGCAACCTATGAGCTAATGTTTATAATATCTCAGCTTTTTCTACATCTCACCGTTTTGTAAGTGAATAAAAATTATTTTATTTGCCGACTGCTTTATTTTTTCGTCTTACAGCTGACGAAACAGTTGGAGTTTTGCAAACAATTTGTGCTTAAATCCAATAGAATATGAAAGTATTTCCTTCAGCTCTATGACACAAACAAGAAGCAGATTTTTTTTTTTTTTAGTAGAAACAATGTGGATGTTCAGACATGTGATGGTCAGTGCTGCATGTCACAAGGAGCCCTGCTTTCATGGCGATAATCCAAAGACAATTTGATTGTCACAGTGAAGAACAAAGCACCAGAAATAAGAAAATAACAGTCACGTATATCAATGCGTGCCACTACTCCTCTTTGTTTAGTGTAGTAGTTTATTGGAAGTGCTAATATTTAATCAATATATTGCATCCCATCTTCTCTTTTGATCTTGAAAGTTAGCATTGCACCTAATAGGGAAATTATTTAATTTGAACTAATTGTCGTGAATGAAAAACACATCAAATCCAGGTCCTTGTTTTCATGTACAGTAGACTGACAGCCATGATATCTTGTAGGAAAGCGTGCGCTCTCATGACTGGATGGCTTTTTTGGAGTCAGAGAGACTTGATGTTAACATAATTTTCTTTACTGAGCTGTTATGCTAAAAGTGAAAATAACTCCACATGTCAGATTAAATTCTCAGTGGTTTCTTAAACAAAGGCTGGTAGAAAAATAAAAAATGTAGAAAAACTGCAGTTGGTAATAATTACAAAGATATATCATCCTTTATTATCACATTTAACATGTAGAAATAAGTTTGGTACTCTCAACTTGCTGAACAAAACAGAAAGCTTTCGTGTGATTTAATTTAGGCTGGGATTAAATCAAGATTGTGTTTTTCAAAGTAAATATGTGGTTTCAATAGATCTCATCACAATCAGGTAATCAGATCTGTTCCTGGCAACATTCACGCTCAGATAAATAAAGAACTGGATCTGTTCTTATGCGTTCATTTGCTTGCATCTTGTGGTTTGGACAAATCCGACGTCTTCTGCTTGAGAATAACTTCACTGGTCGATTATTTCACTTATAACAGGAAAAATATCTTCTGACAGGTGAAGACATCTGCAAATATCAATACTTACTGACTTAAAATAAGCTTTTATATCTTGCTTAAAAGTTACTTGTGAGTTAGTTTGTTCTTATTTTTACTGTACTACAATATTTACACTAGAAACTAAACAAAAATATTTGGTAAGATTTTGTGTTTGTGCAGTACAGAGTCTGACGAGAATGGATAAATAGCACTTAAAAGCAACACACAATATTTTGCAATATTTTAATCTCAATAAAAACACATTTCTCACTCCTCTGCCTCTTTAGGGTACGTGTTTCTCTTCAGCCTTGTCTGCCTGCTGGGAGGTGCAGTAGATTACTCATTACAGATGACCTTCGGACTCATAAAATCTTCGAAAAACCCAACCTTTTGTTGTCACTCCTTTAGTAGCAGACTTTGCTTTCCATATGACAAACCTGGAAATCCAAACAAAACCTAAAAATGTGTGACTGTCTTCAGTCTGACATGGCAAAAAGCAAGCTCTCAATATGTAAGTTTATTTACTTTCTATTTGTTCTAATTTTTTTGAAAGCTTTCTGATGATTGATTTGGTTGTTTTGCTTTGCCAGGGGATTCCCGGGGAGCGTCACAGTTACAGATTGTCCTTCTTGGAGGAAGGAACTGTGGGAAGAACTTCCTGGGGAACCTGATTCTTGGGAAAGAGGAGTTTGTAACCAAGGAGAGGACTTCTTCTACTCGGAGGCTGGGAGCGGTGTCCGGCCTCTGGCTCACGGTGGTGGACACTCCCGGCTGGTGGTGCGACTCCAGCGCTCAGGACACTTCCAACCTGGTGAAGAGGGAGATCATAACCAGCGTCTCCTTGTGCTCACCGGGCCCTCACGCGTTTCTGATCACAGTGAAGGCGAGCTCGGTCTTCTCAGAGAGGCGTCGGAGAGCCGTGGAGGAGCATGTGACCCTGCTGGGCGAAGGGGCGTGGGGTCACTGCGTCGTCGTCTTCACCTTCGCTTACAGGTTTCAGCACACACACGCAGAAGAGTGTGTGGAAAGAGGCGGGGCGGCCCTGCGCTGGCTGGCTGAGAAGTGCGGTCAGAGGTGTCACAGCGTCGTCCTGAACGACGGCGCTGATATAGCAGAGCTGCTGGTGAAGGTGCAGAAACTCGCTGCAGAAAATGGAGGCAGAGTGTTTGAGATGCGGGAAAAGGTTTTGCAGAAAACTGCGGAGGAGAAGAGAGGAGCAGCAGAGAGAGCTGAGCTGAGGTTTTTAAGAATGAAACGTCAAAGATCTCTCCTGAGGGGTGAGTCCCACAAAGCTTAAAAAATGTTGAAATTCAGCTCCACTTTGGATTTCTTATAATGTCATGCAGCTCACTGTAAAACATTTGAGAGACATTTAGTTGTGTTTACTGTCTTCTACTCTTTGAGTCAAATAAATTTAAATTTTGTGTTTGTGAAAGATGAACTTACAGCAGAAAGTTACGTTAACTTTTTATTAGAGTTGAATAAACTAGTTAAAAAAAAAAAGACAGGAGGGGGAACCATTTCCCAGAATGTGTAGCGGCATGGCAGTGCGTTACATTGATCTGACTCTTGTGTTACATTTATTTTTATGTCCAATTCAAAATTAATTATCAAATCAGAAAATTGAAACAAGAATTACAATTACTCTGAAGTAATAATTTAAATGATTATATTGAATTTAATTTATTAAATTCAATATAATTGATCAAATTTATTTGATCAATTTATTAAATTAATAATATTATATTAACATCAGATATTATATTAGAATATTAATTTAATTTAAATTAAATTTTGATTTAACTTAAACGATTAAATAAATTTAAATTTTTTAAATGCATTTAATACATTTATTAGACTTAATACATTCATTTATAATTAAATACATGTATCTTTTAATAATAAGTGTATGTAATAAATGTATTACATTGATATTATATTAATACTAATTTAGTATTACTACTCTACTAGTAATAGAATATTAGTGTCGTTATTAAATAACAGAAATCTGTCTCTTTAACTGGGTGAAGGCAGTTTTTATTTTCTTGTGTATTTGGTTTAAATTAAGTTAAAACTCACAATTCCAAATTAAATAACGAGAAAAACAATGTTTAGGCTACTTCTCTCTTGTTGTTAAATCAACTTCAAAACAGTTTTCCTGTTGACTTTAATTGCATTTCCAAGCAGGTGGACTTTCATTTTCAAGTTAAACCAATTTGAAATGTTTTACAGTGTGCGCCTGTATCTTTTCCTGCCTCATTTGTGACTAAACCTTGTTCTGTCTTAGTTCACCCTCTGCAGCTCCAAAATAAACACAGCAGCGTATTTTTATTCACTTCTTTTCTTTCTGCTTTGCATTAAGGTTTTCTCAGCTTATCTTCACTGCAGCAGCACATGAAACCTATTTAAAGATGGAAAACAAAACTTCCTCGTGCAGCTTTTAGCCTCAAACCTGTGGGAAACAGAGAAATGTGGTTATTATGTAAATGTTTTATCTGAGAAATCTGGGACTGCAGAGGAGGACATATTGTAAATATGCCCAACAAAACCCCACACCACAACTCGATTACTGCAAACCCCAAGTTCTTCAGAAGTTGATTCTTTTTATATGCTCAGAAGAAGTTGATTCGTAGCCTGCAGCTTAAGACCCGAGATCAGAAAGTCGATGGGAGCCAAGATTGGTTGCATTTGCCTGATAAATGACTTTTAGAGACAAATCCATGAGTGTTCTCTTATCTGTTTTACATGACATTTACATTGTGAAGAGTTTTATTCTGTACGCTTTATCACTGTGCAATCTTTAAGAAAACACTCAGAGAAGGAGGACATGGTTGTCTTAATGTTACACTGTGACTGTGGGAAGTTTGAAGGTTAGAGTTTATGTTTTAAAACTTTATGGACACAAAGCTACAGAACACTGAACCAGATCATAATATTTATTAATTGAAGGATGTGTGTTTCATTCAGAAATGTGTTTACTGCCCTAGTGGGTGTCGGTGGTAACGCACCTTAGGCCTATTTTAATTACCAACAATTTATAGCTTTATATTATATTTACAACCTTAAGCTGTCAATACATTTGAAATTATAAGTTTATGTAATTAAAAACACACTAAATTTTCCAATGCTAAATTTACACAATTGGAATTGAAGCATAAATGTCCTCTATTGAACATTTATTGACTATCATTTAGCTTTGCAGAGTATAACAGGTTTTGCTCTGACACATTCAGCAAAATATTCAAAATAGACCAAACCAAAACTATAGCCCAAGACTCAACAGTGCAGTTTTTACGCACTATATTTTAACTTTTTAACATCCTAAATATATTAGTCAATTTGCATTTTGAATTTACTCAGGATATGCTATAATTACAAATGTAAGGATGCCATTTACAGTCAAGTTGCTTTGAAAAAAGCAAATATTTTAAAATAACTAATTATTCCTGTAAACCTGACTTAAAGCAAAATTACATTTTTTGTACTTCCATCTGGATCTCAACTGCTTATAAAAACGGTGTTAAAAATAAATAAGTTAATTTATTTTTGTGTCTGAAAAACGAGCAGTTTCAAAATCCTCCCAGTTGTTGAGTCACAATCCACAGACATTGCCCTGTTACCGAGCAACCCCAGCTAAGCTCCACCCATCACCCAGCAACCCAGCATGTTTGATCAGCTGGTTCTACCACTCTATGCGCCGCATAATGGCCGCTGGAAAAGGCAAGCGTTTTGGTGACTTACAATCCAGAAACAACTTGTTGCCTTCTTGTTGGTTGTGCAAGAGGCTCCACTTCTGCTTTTCAAAGATGTATGGTTTTTAATTGCACATCTGTTTGCTGCTATTTTCACATGCGAGTGTGAACTTTGAGTTGTCAGAAGCAGTTTATGTGGATTTAAAGTGACAGAGGCCCTAAGTCATCCCTCTGCTCTCTTTGTGCTTGTAGAGAAGTCAAGGCCAGTCACTGCCATCCGCCTGGTGCTGCTCGGAGCGAAGGGTTCAGGAAAGACTTCAGCTCTGAACACCATCCTGGGCAGAGGACACAGCAGAAAACTCAGCAGAACTGCTCAGTGTTCGGTTGGAGACGCTGTGGTGTTTGGCAGACAGGTGACCGCCGTGGACACTCCGGGCTGGTGGATGAACTACTTCTGCAATGAGACTCCCCTCTTCGACCGGAGGGAGATGGTGCTCAGCTTGTCTCTGTGTCCTCCGGGGCCTCACGTCTTCCTGCTGGCGATCCGAGTGGACCGAGCCTTCACGGAGACCTACAGGAGAGCAGTGCAAGAACACCTGGAGCTCATCAGCGAGTGGACCTGGGCTCGCACCATCCTGCTGTTCACCTTCGGGGACTGGCTGGGCGACACCACCACCGAGAAGTTCATCGAGAGCGAGGGGGAGCCTTTGCGGTGGCTCGTTGAGAAATGCTCCAACCGGTACCACGTTCTGAACAATAAAACCAAAGGAGATGGATTCCAAGTCAGAGAACTGATTGGGAAGATTGAGGAAGTGATGACGTGTGGCTGCGATGGAAGCTGGCATTACGAAATAGAGAGGAGAGAGTTGGAAGAAATGAAGAGGTGGATGAAGGAAGAGGGAGAGAGAGCCACCGACCGGCTGAGGAGGAAGGAGAAACAAAGACTGGTGGCAAAGTCTGAGCTGGGTGAGTTACAGAAGAGAGGATTAAAATACAAATAATTCTGACTTTTTTACTTTGAACTCAAAATTCTGACTTTCACCTCACGATTAAGATTCCCCCCCCCTGACAGTCATGACAATAATCCCAGAATTGACTGGAACAAACTTCCAGAAAACTGAAAAACAGCCGAAACACAGAGTACTGAAAGAGTTGCCTTTGAATTAAAAAAAAAAAGTCAGAATTTTGAAATTAAACTCAAAAATTTTATATTAAAATCAGAATTTTGAGAAAAAGTCAAAATTCTGATATTGAAATTAGAATAATGAGAAAAACATCAGAATTTTAAGATTAAAATCAGAATTTTGATATTAAAGTCAGAATTCAGAAAAAAGGCAGAATTCTGAGATTAAAACAGAATCTGAGAAAAAAAAATCTGATTTTACATCTAGTATATATTTAGTGCTTTGTTGTTGAAATGTTTTGATTTAAAACTTTACATTGGCAGAGAATCTTGCCCCTCTGCGAGAGCTCAGGATGATTCTAGTTGGTGGCAGGAGAGGAGGAAAGAGCTCATGTGGAAACACAATCCTCAACAGACACGACTTTCCCACAAACACCCAAACTGTCTCCTGCTGTGAAAACCAGTGCAGAATCGAAGGAAAGACCGTCTCTGTGCTGGACACTCCTGGACATTTCCCCGTAACCTCAGAGGTCCTGAGGACTCCTTCGGCCTTCCTGTTGGTCGTCAACGTAAGCTCCTCGTTCACGGCTCTCCACCGGGAAGCCATGGAGGAGCAGCTGGATGCTGGTGGGAGCCAGATCTGGAGCAGAGCCGTGGTGCTGTTCAGCCACGGCGACTGGCTGGGAGACACCAGCGTGGAGCAACGCATCGAGAGCGAAGGAGAGCCGCTGAGGAGGCTGGTGGAGCGCTGCGGGAACAGGTACCACGTCCTGGACAATAAGAACCAGGGAGACGCAGCGCAGGTCAGGGAGCTCGTCCAGCTGGTGGAGGAGATGCTGGCCACAGAGAGGCGGGTTCATAAAGACGACCCGCTGTGGACACGGGTCAGTTCTGCAGAGGAACAGCAGAATAATGCGATGCTGCGCAGGAGGAATCTAAGGAAACAGATGAGAAGAAGAAACCGACTGTCTCTTGACTGTGAGTAAAACTTTAAATTTTCTCCACACAGAAAAATATATTCAATTATCTGGGTTCATGTAGGCATGACTGTCTATAAAGATGTTTAAGTATCTGGTCTGAAATAGACTCCGGATTTGGAGAAACATACATTTTAGCTATCAAAGATATGCGATAATTAAAATAGTGTTTTACTGATTGCTAAGTACAATCAACTGCATGAGACCTGTAGAAAATAAAACTTTACTTAATCTGAACTGAATTGAGGATATCTATGGACAAATCATCCATTTAAGCCAAATAATTTTAGATAATTTAAACTTAATTTTTACAAACACAATCTCATTTTTGGGAATCTTAAAATAAAGATTTTAATTGTAGAAAATTTGATTTTCAGGTATTTTTGCTCCTCTCTGACTAGGAAAATGTGACTTTTACAGTTTTCAAGTTTTGAATCCTTCACCAAAAACACACTATTGTTATGCTTTCTGAAGAATCTCTTTCCATAACACCTGGAGGAAATAAAATGAAATAATATTTTGAAGATTCAGGTACAAAGACTATGCAGAATAACAGGCTGTTGATGTAACAGGTTCAGTGACGACATTTTGAAGTAACCTGAAAAAATGAAAAGAAACACTATCGAATTAATCGATGCAGTTTTCGATTAATTCAAATTAAAAAATAATTTATTGATCCAAAGGGAAATTAAATCTTACTGGAATGTTTCTTTAACAATTCAGTGACACTTTGATCTATGCAGATGATTTACACATTAAGTAAATTTAAACCAAATCAAGGGAAGAGAGAAACATGTAAGAGATCCTGAAAAAGCAGGAGAGAAAAGCAGATTCATCTCTTGTGACAGAGCCTGAAATCACATCATATATTATGATTTTTATTTTCCAGTGGCTGAATCTGGATCTTCCTTGTCTTATCCAGAGGAGTTAAACCCGACGCAGGTTGTGGCTTTGCCAGCCAGAAGATTGGGAAGGCAGCCTGGATTTGTGTTTTCGGAGCACAGCAGCTTGGTGTTCCTGTCTGTGCTCAAGCGGAGCTGGTCAGCGATAGAGTTACCTCTCAGGTTCCCGTCTCCTCACAGCCTCATGCTCTCACCCAGGCAGCAAACGATGCTTCTGGTTTCATATCAGAGTCCACCCAGCTTTCCCTCAGAGGAAAACCTAGTTAGCGTCCATTCTCTCTGCCATCCGGTTCTGAGAGAGCGCGCTCTCCGCAGGATGTGCGAGTCCGGCGGCCTGCAGGCTCTGATCGACCAGTGGGGCAACAGCAGCCTGGAGGAGCTGGAGTCCTTCATCGACTCGTACTTTGAGATGGTGTGGGAGCAAACCATGGGCTCGTTTCAGGCCTCTGAGTCCCAGCCTCCGGCCACCGTGGAGGACGCAGCCGTCAGGGACGCAGGAGGAGAGGAGCTGCTGTTATCCATCGACAGGAAGCTGACGAGGCTGGACCTGCTGGAGGAGATCCGCAGGGATCTGGCAGAAGTTAAGAGGAATCTGGAGGGCAACACATGAACTCAGAGAGCAAAAATGAATCACAAACTTATAATTAACTCCATGGATATATATTACATCCATATGCAGCTCTGAAAAAAGAGACCACTTGAAATGATCAATTTCTCTGATTTCACTCTTTATATGTGCATGTTTTAGTGAAGTGAACATTGTTCTTTTATTCTATGAACTACTGACAATTTGTATGTAAAATTCCAAAGAAAATGTTTTTATTTATTAGCAGCAAATGAGAAAATAATAATAATAAAAAAGATGCAGCACTTTAAAACCTCAAATAATGAAGAGAAAACAAATTCATATTCATTTAGAAACAACAATACTGAGGTTTTAACTCAGGAAGAGATCAGACATCAATATTTGGTGGAAAAACCAGAATTTTTCAGTTTTTCCAGAGCTGTCCATTTAAAAAAGTGCGGTTTTTGTCCACAAGATGGCGCTATTATCCAGCGCAAAATCAGCGGTGGAGAAAGTATCAAACAGTGTACTTCAGTAAAAGTACAAATAAACAACCACATTAACAGTTTTACTTGAGCAACAGTACTTGCTTTTAAAAATATTCAAAGTATAGAAAGTAAAAGTTCTGACTGTATTTCTTAATGCAGTGCCTCTGCATGTATATTTTCTTTAAGACATCAATAGAGTTGCGCCATTTTAATAAACAATGCTGCAGATAATACACACTTTTGTTGGACCTTTAAAGGATTTTAGTAAACACATTCAAGCTAAAGGTTCCTGAGTGAAAAAAATGGCATTACAACACAGAAACAAAGTACTTTGCTACATCCCATAAGATGGCACAAAATATTAGATATCAGGGTTCACCCCAGTGTACTGTAAGCCTGGCAGGCCACCAGGCTAAGCATTGCTTATTTATTTAAGTCTTTTTAAAATGTTTGCATTTTCAAAAGGCTTTATAGTTGGTGTTCAAGTATCAATCTACCAATCTTTCAATGATGAATAATTCTGACGATACACAAAGCTGTTCACATTTTCTTTCTTGAGCTTGTTGAGTACGTGTCAAACACAAGGCTCAGGGGCCAAATCCGGCCCGCCGTAGCTCTTTATGTGGCCTCCTAGACTCCAGATTTATTCATAAATAAAACCTTCAAGACAGCAGTTGTGTGCTTAAATGTCATTTTATTAATTAAATCAAAGTGTCTTTTATTTGTTAATACTTCTAGTTTTATTACAATTGTGGAAATTCACACAAATTCAACAAATTGTGTAATTTTTTGTGCTAATGAATAATTGTGAGTTTACTGAAAATGTTCCAAAAACATTCAGAGTTCAGAGTGACGCCAACTCCAACCTGCAGGTGGCAGTATATTTTACATCTTGATGTCAAGTTATAGCTCGATAATTTGCAAGTAATGAAAAGTCACATTTGTGCAAATGTTCCAAAAACATTCAGAGTTCAGAGTGACGCCAATTTCCTGCAAAGATTTTAAATGAGCAATTTATTGCAAAAAGAAATGTACAAAAAAAAAACTCCCCGAAATCCTGAAGGGATTGATCGTTGTGAAAATCTGTTAAATATGATTTTATTTGAAGAAGAACTTCTAATCGTTTGTTTAACAGGTTAATTGATATATTTCAGCCCTTTAAGAGCATTTGTGATGTTAATGTGACCCAAAATAAAAACGAGTTTGACGCCACTGTCTGATGGTGGTTAAAAACAAGAAGAGGTTTTGGACGGCTGTGTTTTTAACTCTTGTGCCAATTTAAAGGTTTTCTTCCTCTGATCGAATGCTTTTAAGTGTGTCACACACTGAAACACTCTCCAACTCTATCTATCAAAGGAGTCCAGCAGAGGAAGCGCTACATTGCTCTCAAGGCCGCGTTGCCTTCAATACGTATTTAAGGCAGCACTAAGAGCCGGGGGACAGTTTTATTAGCTGATTTATTGTGTCTGATGTGCTTTTGTTTTTTTACTCCTGCACATATAAAGCAGCTGAAATCAACACAGGAAATAGTTTGCAATTCATCATTATTGTAATATTAGACATAATATTAGTAAAAGGCATCAAAACAACATCAAGGATGAGACACAGGAAGCAAACAAAGATGATGTTTTACTGGAGATTGTGGTTGTGACTCTTTCCTGTTCAGGCAGACAGAGAGGGATGTGAATCTACTAACAGAAATAAAATAAGTTTTTTTCTCTTTTAGCTTGTGAATCCACACACAACCTAAACGTTGTTGTGTGAGAAAAAAAACACAACTTCACATTTATTCAAATTTACACTTGAACAAGTTTATTTACTAAAATTCTCCAAATACTTTCTGTCGTCTTCTTCGTGGTTTGCAGTTGGTGATCATATGATGGAAAAATAAGTGTTTCCATTCCAGTTTTGTTTTTATAAATAAAAAAAACCCCACTTCATGTTAGCGTCAAATTTTTTTAATCACAAAAACGTGAATATTTCAAAAATTGTCATTTCTATTAAGCAAATTTATTTTTGAAATGTTGAATTGTGCAATTATTTGGCCCATGGAAGCAGTTTTTTTTTTAACTATGACTCCCACGTGTTCCACACGTTGTTCTCTGGTAGTTTCACAGTGCCACCTACTGGCCCGGCATAACGACTACACCATTTTGAGTTCTGTCGTGGATATTTTTCTCAAAAATACTCCATGATTGTTTTTGTTTGGGATTCAGAAGAAAAAACTGAAACCATGTTCAGAAACTGATGTTTTTTGTGTCAGGATCAGTCAAGTGAGCAGATTTATTATTCTTGGCCAATATTTTTGGTCAGGTGTGTTGTTGGTCTGATAATGTGACCCGTATTTCGGGTTAAAGAGATATGAATGATTGTAACTGTACCATGCCATCTTCTCAAGCATGAAATAAGATGACATTGTAACCTCTGAAAATATATTTAAAATCAAATAAACATAAAACAATTCTTATTTTATAATGACAACAGTTCTGTTTTTTTGTCCCATCAAAACAGCCAGAATGCTTTGACGAAAAAGAAACCTCCGAAACATTTAAATGACGTTGACATTTAAAGAATGCACTAAAAACATAAACAAGTTGCTTGTCTGCAGTCAAGCTCGCTATCTTTCTTCATCTTAGTGTTTTTCTTTTGCATTATGCCTCTTTGGATCCTTCAGTTGTCTCTCCCTGCTCTCTTATCATCCATCTTCCTCTAATGTCAGCATGTCATTCCTCCACTCTCCCCTCCTTCTCTCCTCACTACTCCATTCTCTCTGCAGGGCTCCATCTCGCGGTCTCCTCAAATCAAATCGTGAGGTCTCAGCCCCGCCCGCTCGTTACAGGACGGCTGTAAAAGACGGGGGAGGAGAGGGAGAAATGGATCTCCCCTTTCTGTGTTGCGCTGTTCAGGCCGTCCTGGAGACAATTCTTAGCCCACATCCATCTCTATTAGCAGGACAGCACACCGGCTTGCAAGCACCCACTTTCTGGCCTGTATCTGGTTTCACTGCCTTCTGTTTTTGCAGGTGGGAAAGAAAATCTGGGGAGAAAGATGTGTAGGGACAGAGGAAAAAGCAAAGGATAAAGGATTTAAATTTGCTGAATAGAAATCTCAAGTTGGAATATCCTGGATGACATCAGGGAAAAAGTGTTGACCGTGCATCTTACCATATGCAGCCCATAAAAACGCCCTCGGTTTTATGATCGCAAAAGAAGAAAACATAAAATGTGCAACAAAAAAAAGACTTTGAAGCTCAGTCTGAGGAAATTATGTCTTGGTTCCACAAAAAAATAAAAATGTCTGTTTCTTTTTGCAGATGCAGTTCAAGAATAAAAAAACCCCAATCAGGTCAGCCAATTCTTCTGGTTCTGTTTTTTTTCTCAGTGACGTCAAACTCATTTTCATTTTGGGCTGTATCAACTCTGAATGTTCTTAAAGGGCCAGTTGTGCCAGAATGTATTGATAAAACCCACCAAACTGCTAAAATATCAATAAATAGCTGTTTCTTAAAATTAAATAGTATTGAACATCTTTTCAGACTATTAAGAATTTTTGTGATTTTTTGGTGTTAATTTAGAGATATTTGAAAAGAATTGTTAGGATATTTGTGCTAATGTACGATGCTAAATGTGACGTTTTATGAATCGCCACATCGATCACGGACTATAACTTGGCATCAAGTGAGGCTGACCAATGTTTTTGGTCATTTTTAAGAAAAATGTGCAACAAAAATCAAACAGATGTGGGAATCTGAAGATTTTGTGTGAATTTTGCAAATTTGTGCAAAATCGGAGGGACTTATTGATGTAATTTGGAGTCTAAACAACTGAAACAAGTAACACTTTCATCCCATTGAGTTGAGCCGAGCGGAGAAAAACAGAAAGTTTTGAGAAAGCAGAGTGAATATTTGAAAGACCAGAAGTTTTGAGCACAAGTTTTGAGAAGAGATGAAATCCTGCTTTCAAACTGCCAATGTGTGCTCTCGATTTATGGTAGAAAAATTCCCCCAAAAATGTACGTAGGGGATTCTAAATGCTGCATTGGGATAGATTTTTAAAAATCTAATCAGAAATAAATTTTCAGCTCCTCTGAAAACAAAAGCTTGATTCAGTTTGTGTGACTTAGCAGCCAGAATCAATAATATTAATAAATTAAATTCTATGCTTGCAGAGCAAAAGAGCAAAACTCTGCAGACAGACCTCTATGTCACAATTTTAGGGAAAAAAGATTGTTTAGTGAGTGAAAATCTGGTTAAGCTTCTGTTCTCAGAAGTATTACGTCCTCATCCCTGATTCCCAGGAATTGGGAAATCCAGGAAATCAATGTGGGAACTTTTGGCCTCGTTGAGACGCCATTACGACACGACAGTTTGCCTGTGGGGATCATTTCAGTGAAACGGTTCAGGAGTGGCCTTGCTTCTGAGGGAGTGATGGAGGGGTGTAGGTCAAAAGTAAATGAGGTACATTTGGCTTTGCTACCAGCTGGCCCAGTCCAGAACAATCACACACACACACACACACACACACACACACACACACACACACACACACACACACACACACACACCACACACACACACACACACACACCAAGCCTTCCATTTTCCATCCATGTCTGTCATTGTGCCTCATCAGGACATGATGGGGCAGGGTAAACCTCAGGGGCAAAGTTCAGGAAGCAATTAGGGGAAGTGACTACACACCAGTGGCTGAAATTCCAGCTCCATTCTGGAAATGAGTTTGTTTCTCAGAAGGTCTCCCTCGTTAAATCATTAACCTCACAACTGGAGGCCACTAAAGAGGAAAAGCAACGCAGTTGCATGCTAGAAATTTAGATGGCATTTGTGTCAGAAGAGCATCGGAGGAGCAGAGGAAGAGTCTCCTGCTTGCTGACCTTTGACCCTGACGTCAATTTCACCTTCACACATTTATGAAGCATTTTATCACTGCAGCCATCCAGCATAATCTTAAACAAGATTATTTTAAGTTTAATTTTTATTAAAATTAAAGTTGCGCAATTTGACATTAAATTTGCTTAATGAAAACATGGCGATTTAAAAAAAAAGAAAGTTTTGCCACAAGGAGGAGTATTTTTTTATGCATTTTGCAAAACTGCATCACACAAGTTATGTGATCAACAACTGGATGTTACCACTGGCGGAAATGAAGAAGAAGATGACAGGAAGTGGTAGGAGGATGACGGTGCCATGTTTCATTTAAACAATGTATTAACTGATCAATCTTACTCATCTATGATTTTAATTGCTTTTTTTCCCTTTAACTTAAACACCGCAAGTGTGAAAATGAGGTGGGTTTTTTTTTCACTTTAGTAAAATATCAACAAAGTTTGTAGCAAAAACCCAGGTAATGTCTTTAAACCTTTTTTAAAATCAAGATCTTTCTTATGCAGCATTAAGAAGTGGATCTTAAGTTTCAATTTATGTCCATCATACTTACTGGCAATTATTGCATTTTATGGCCACAAATATAAAAAATCACATTTTCAGTTCCAGAAAATGCATCCTAATAACTTAAGATCATTTAAAATTTTAATAATAGTGTGAATTTCATTCAAACCTTGGGAAATAAATCTTTGTGATGCCACAAAATCTATTAAGTTTTTAGATACACAGAATAAACTTTAATATTTAGTGAACAACATAAAACGTTAGCATATAAAATGCTTTATGATGAAACACATAAAAGCAAAAAAAATAAAAAACTTCTACGTTCATCCCAAATTAGAAACTATTTGTAAGCTAGAAAATACAAATAATTTGGTGAGTGAAAGTAGAATGAGCAGCACAACAGAATAAAAACAGGAACAATGGAAACCAGGAAGCTTAAATAGTGAGGAGGAGTGGAGAACGACATTAAGACCAGGTGAGTTCAATTAGAGGAATGTTGAGCAGCTGATTACGACATATCAGGAGAGGCAAGTAACATCGTTTGGATTGGAAAACATTATAAATCCATTTCTTCATCACTTTTCAGAAGTAGAAACATTTAACAATGGAAAGTTTAACCAAAACATTCATCAAAGAGGTGACAAAAAAAGCACAACACTTGAAGCACTGCAGCTCTCACTGGTTACAATTAAGGTAATTAAAAACAAAAACTATATTCATGGGACAGTTCTGAGTCCAAACAGACCAAAAATAACTCAAAGATCGGTCACACAGGTACTGAAAACCAACCTACTTCCAAAAACCTGATCTGTTTTGGAATATTTTCATAAATGTA